CACTCCGGTAGCCGTTCCCATGTCGTAACCGTTGAAAAGCCCGCAACGTACCACTCTGCCTCCTTGAGCTTCGACGGCTTGTCCGAGAGCCGAATCCTTCGGGCAGCAGATCTCCATCAGGTCGGCCCTGGTCGTTTTTGCCAGGATGGTGGTGTCCTCCCCGATCTCGGCGTAGACCTTCTCCATCACCTTCTCCTGGGCCTGGTAGACCATCTGCAGGTCGGTGCTGTCCAGCGGCTTTAGCGGCCCCGCTTCTTCTGCATCTCGGTCAGCTCTGAGTCGTCCAGCATGGCGTCGTCCCGCTTCGGCAGAAACTCCCAGGGGCCCGCTGGATCCCGCTTCGCCAGCTTCGCCGTGAGCCGTCGCCACCTCATCGCCACTGCCTGGCTGCGTATGTCCCCGAGCGCCTCGCTGCTGGACTCGGTCGGCTGCAGCTCGAGGCACTGGTGACTCTTCCCCCGGCGGCAACTGCATCCCGTGATTGCGCGGTTCGGCGCCTTGCAGCATGAACACCTCGAATGGATCACGGGGGCCTGAGGCACGGGTGGCGGCGGCACCAGATGACTTGGTGACGGCGCTGATGGCGTTCCCCTGGCCGGTGCTGCTGCTTGTGGTACTGGGGGTCCTGGGTAGCTCATCTGGTAGAACGCTTCTGGTGGTGTCCAGGGGGCCGCTGCAGGAGGCCAGGCTGGATGTGGCCCGCACTGGGCCTGTAGACGAAGACAGTAGTGCGACCGGCCCCCGCCGCAACTGCATCCTCTCTTGGTCCGTCCTACTGCTCCGCAGCATCCGCATTGTCCTGGAGGATTGTACCTCACTGGTGACCCCGTCGGGCTGTTGACGGGCATGGTGACCGGTGCTGATGGTGGCATCGATCCTGGTGTCGTTGGCGATGTTGCTGAGCTCGCAGTTGGCGGTCCAGCACGCGTCCGAGGCCGGGCCCACTCGGGCCGCCCCGCAGCCGGCGGTTGCGAAGAAGAGTCTCCACATGGCATCCGACGAATTTGAATATGTAGGATATGGACAAGCTGAAGCATTGGGGTTCGCGAGGATTCCTTCCCACTGATTTTGAGCCGCATGGGGCTGAGGTCCATTTCTTGTTCTCCGACATTCTTTTGGAGGCTTTCCCTGGTAGACATCCTTGAAGGTGACTCGCTTGTGGCCTTGGGGGGCCTCCCCAGAAGCCCTGGTAGTTCCCTCTGCACTCGTTCCTGTTCCCAAGATCCGCATGGTCCCTGGTGTCCTAGACGACGTTCCTCCTGAGCTTGCCCGTGTCCCTTAAAGTTCTGGAAGCCTCTGAAGTCCTCGACTTGGGCCCCGAAGCGGTGGGTGTCGGCATCGTAGTTTCCGGAATCCTCGGACTGCCCGAACGCATCGAGGTCGACGGTCTCCTCTCGGTCCAGTGCCGTGTTGAACTCGCCCCTCTCGGAATCGGTGTACTGCTCGGTCTCTGAGTCGGGATCGGTCCGCTCGCGGCCTCTGGGTGTTTCTGGGTACCTCTGGTCGAATCAATCACGTCGGACGGGAATTGGGATTCCGGATCTCCCCTCTGATGTGGCCCCCCCGGTGATGGCGGTGACGATTGCGATGATATCGCGCTCGCTCGCACCACCAGGGGGTGTTGTCCCTAGTGCGCGGCGCCGCAGCCAGTGCAGTCCACGCAGGGCTCCGCTGACTCCTCGATCAGTACGTTGGAGTCCTGCTCTACCGCGTTGGTTTGGCAGCTCTCCAAAGACAAGGGTGCCGGTACTTCGCGCCACCACTGCGGCGTCGATAGGTTGATCGCCAGGTGCTTGCTGGAGAGCCGCTCGCAGTAGTAGACCTTGTTGCCCAGTGTCGGTAGGCCGAGCCAGTTGCGGCCGCAGTCCACCACCACCTTCAGGTCGTCCGTCAGGATGTCCACGCCCAGAAGGGTCGGCACGCGGTTCGCCATCACAGAGAGGCCGATCTCCCGCAGCTGAGGTCCCAGGAAGGCCTTGCCTGGGACCGTTCCCATGGAGCTCTTCTGGAGGCCATCTCCGAAGGTGAAGGAGCAGGTGTCGTCATGGGCCTCGAACTCCACGTTGTGGTTCACCAGCATCTCATACATCAAGTTCCCCACGCTCTCGACACCGCCCAGGCTGCGCGTCGCCCCGATGTCCAGCACGGCCCAGAGCCCGTCACGCTCCAGCAAGTAGACGTACTCGTCCAGTGCTGACAGGATGAAGCCGTTGTGCGTCGTCCCCGTGCCAGCAGTGGCGCCGTTCCCGACCTTGCCACGGTCGGGGCAGTCCCGAGCACGGTGCCCGAATTGCCTGCAGATGATGCACTTCATCCTGGAGAGGTCGCGTGTCCCCTCGAATCGTACTCGCCGATCTTGTCCACGTCCCCAGCCTTTGCCAGGTCCCCCGAAGTCGTCCTTCCTGATGTGGCTTGGGAGGTGGCGCCACGCGCTTGTCGTCGTCTTTGGGCACCACGACCGGGTAGTAGTCCCGCGCCACGCGCACTTGTCGAAGCAGATCTCGAGCGTCTTTGAAACTCCGTCCCGCCTGGCGGAACTGCGCGAACACCTCGTTGTCCGCCTCCAGGTCGGCAGCCTCTTCGTCGTCCTCCTCTTCTGCGAGGTTGATCAGCTGCTCGACCATCTCATAGATATCGTCAACTTCCCCACCAGTCTCATACTCGTCGTCGTCGGCGTCGTTCTCGAACATGGCCCGCTCCCTCTTGGTCTTGCCGTCCAGCTGCGCCAAAGCCTCTGCCGGGAAGCGTGTCAGCAGTGTATTGTAGGTCTTCGCAAAATTGAAGTCCCCCCTGGCGGTCGCCGCCACCTCCCCTCGGAGGACAGGCGCGAGCCGTGACTTCCTCAAGAACCACCATGTGCGGAGCGGCTTGGCAATCACTTCCTTGACGTCTGGGTCAATCGCCTCCAGCTGCATCAGCAGCTCTCTCTCCTTCTTCTCGAACCTTGCGGCCCAGTCCTGGAAGGTCTCACCTGGGTTGCGCGCAATCTTCAAGAAGAACTCCTCTGCCAGCAGGCCTGTGTCGTTCAGGCTGGTGCAGTCCAGCTTGTCCAGAACGTAGTTGAACACCGTCTCCCAGCCGACCAGAATCCCGTCGTCGTCCACACGGTCCACGTCGTCGATGGACGGGCAACTCTCCACGGCGTTCCGAACCCGCGGCCCGAGTGCCCGAACCAACTGCGGACCACAGACGTAGCGGTCGCTCAACCTGATGCTCTTCATCAACATGGCCACCTCGAAGCGGTAGCTCGACAGCTTCTCTGCCTCACCGCTCCAAGATGGCACTTCCACTCTGGCTGGCGTCGACGAGCCTGAAGTCGTCGCCATCGTGATGAGACTGGTGGGAGCCCGTGGTGCTGTCTCCACAGGCTCCGCTACCAATCTGACTCCCAGAGAGCCTCATGGAGGTCCTCAATCACGCTGGTGATGAGACCTGTCTCCTCAGGCTCTCTCTTTCGAAACGATCTCCTTGATCTCCTAGATCGGGATCTCCTTAGGATGATAGAACACCTCTTGTTCACTGCACAGTACGACCAAGCTCCCAGCTGCCTGGTCTGCCATTGAACCCAGTGGTCTATAGGAAAAGAGCCCGCCCTCCCTCAACCTCTGGGGTCAGAGTGGGCGGCAGAAACAGAGACACGGCAGAGAGAGCATCGCCTGACATGAAACGTAACTAGAACAACGGATGCTGCTGCGATGCATTCAGAGACCCCCCCCAGGCCCCCCCCCAGGAGGAGGGGGAGACAAACGAAAAGGTGATGGAGAAGGTGGCAAAAGACGCTCAGGAGCAGGAGGATGAGGAGGAGGAGGAGGGAGGTGGTATTCTGACCCGGGACCCCCCCCAGGTTTCCCCCAGGATCCCCCCCGGGCTTCCCCCAGGACCCCCCCCCCGGCCAGGGAAGGGAACAAAGGGAAGGGGAAACCCTTTCGATTCAATTTACTTTACGCAGGAGGAAGAGATGAAGGAGGAGGAGGAGGAGGAGGAGGAGGAGGAGGAGGAGGAGGAGGAGGGGGAGACGAACGAGAAGGGGACGGAGAAGGTGGGAAAGGGAAGGAGGCACGGACGAGAAGAACAACCCATTCCACACGCCGACAGGGTCGGCGGATTTTGTGGTTATTGTGCGAATTGCACTCCCACTTTGATTCACGGGGCTAGTCATCTTCTGTCATGTTCAATAGATGTGACAACAGATCGCGGAGAGGTCGTGGATTCGGTCCACGAAATCCCTCCGTGGAGTCTCTTTTCGGATCCCCTGGAACGCTCGATTCATGCATTGGGTTCATGCGAGCCCACGTGCGATTCCTCTGCGCCCCCGTGCGGTTCCTCATCGTTTGCGTCGGCTTCCTAACGATATCCTGCGGCTTCGTCTTGATCCTGCGGGTTTCCTGTGATCGCCTCTTCGCTGTCCTATGCACCCTTTGTCGATGAACGCTCCGACTGCGGATTTCTGCGCGTTGCTACCTTCGACTGCTCCCTGTTGGCACAGCCCCAGGGCGGTGCAACGTATTGCTTACATGTCGCATGTACGAACGATGTCGCCAGCAGACCCCGGCTTCAATGACACTTGATTCTGTGTTGTGCCACCGGTATCGCCGATGGGGGGCTACAGATTGCTTCCCTGGGTCGACTACACGTAAGAGTGACCCTTCGCCTGAGTGACCTTTGGTGCGGGCCCACAGGGGCCCCCCGATCGCCGAAAGCGATGCGCCAGCGTCATGCGCGCTCTTGTTTGGTCTCCCCGCGGCCCCCAGCAGAAAGAACGGGCACCAAAGGTCGCTCTTGCCCAGTGTCGCTCTTGCGTGTAGCCGACCGGGTTACGACGCGACGACGATTACGCCCACGAGCGATGGGGAAAACAACAAGTACCGATACCGCTACTCCCTGGACCTCTCCCGGAGTGCCTTCTGACCAGGATTTCGAGGCGAATCCAGCGGTGGCGACGAGGGCCTCCAAGGGGGCCCAAAAAGGTGAAAACGAGGCAAGGGTAGCAGTGTGGGCACCTTTTCCTCATTCGAATTATATGGGGGAAATGGGCGAGGGGTAGCGGTATGGGCACCATTCCCTCCTCCGAACCGCGTCGGCGACGGCGGGGAGGCCGCCGAGTGCGCCCACGAGCGGGGCAGCCGGACTCTGACGTGGGGCGGGGTGCTGCCGACCGACCAGGCGGGGGCCGAGGCGGACCTCGACGAGGCGCGCGCCTTCGGACGGCCCGCGCTCGAGCTGCCCCTCCTCCGAGGATGGGAGGAGAAGGGAGGAGGGAGGGAGGGAGGGAAGCGACAGCAGGAGGACGAAGGAGGGAAGGAGGAAGGAGAAACGAGGAGGAGGAAGAGGATGAGGAAGAGGAGGAGGAGGAGGAGGAGGAGGAGGAGGAGGAGGAGGAGGCAGGAGGGAAGGAGGAGGAGGGAGGAGGGAGGAGGGAGAAGGAAGGAAGGAGGAGGAAAGCGGAAGGAGGAGGAGGAAGGAGGGAGGAGGGAGGAGGAACCATGGCGGAGGATAAGGAGGGGTTGGACGGGGTGGAGGGACCGCCTGCCCGATCGGGTCGGGGGGGGACCGCCCGAGAGGTGCTAGAACTGTTCGCGACCGGCGTCGACCGTCTGGGCTTCACGAAGGTCGAGTGGTGCAAGGCGCGTGCTCCAACTGCGTGGGTGGAGAGCCCCACCCGCTACAACTCGCACGTGCACCTCCGCGCGTTCTGGGAGGACTCGCCGTGAAGAAGACGAGTCCTGGGGGAATGTTTGCCGCCCCCGGGCGGCCATGGCCCTTCCTGGGCCCCGTGAAGAGCTGGCCTCCGGGGAAGCCCTGGGGCTCAGAACCCAGACGTCGAAGATTTCAACACGGTCGAAAGGCGGGAGGAGGAGCAGGGAAGGGGGAGGAGGAAGAGCAGGAGAATGAGGGCGACGCAGAGAGGAGCGGCACCAGAGAGGAGGAGGAGGAGGAGGAGGAGGAAGAGGAGGAGGAGGAGGAGAAGAGGAGGAGGAGGAGGGGGAGGAGGAGGAGGAGGAGGAGGAGGAGGAGGAGGAGGAGGAGGAGGAGAGAGACGAGGAGGAGGAGGAGGAGGAGGAGGAGGAGGGAGGAGGAGGAGGAGGAGGAGGAGGAGGAGGAGGAGGAGGAGGGAGGAGGAGGAGGAGGACGAGGAGGAGGAGGGAGGAGGAGGAGAGGAGGAGGAGGAGGAGGAGGAGGAGGAGAGAGGAGGAGGAGGAGGAGGAGGGAGGAGGAGGAGGAGGAGGAGGAGGAGGAGGAGGAGGAGGAGGAGGAGGAGGAGGAGGAGGTGGACGGCGAGGAGGAGGAGGAGGAGGAGGAGGAGGAGGAGGAGGAGGAAGGAGGAGGACGGTGGAGGGCCTGGACTTCTCTGTCCGGCGTTAGACTCCCCCCCCTCTGTGTGTCGTTGATGTCGCCGCGCCCAGCCGGGACATGGGTGCAGGCGGAGGAAGCCAGCGCCGGCCCGAGAAGTGCATGTGAATGCCGACTCTTGGCCTTCGGAGGACGACTGGCTCGCCCCCGTGAACTGACCCCGCCGGCGCTCATCGCTCGCTCGGCCAGGGCTTCGGCCGAACCACCGGCGCGAAGCCACCGACTTGGCAATCTACGGTCGGGAATTCTTGGTCAGCATGTCTGTCCGCCGGTTCTGGCACACCACGCTTCGGCCCGACACGCGACGGTATCCACTTTCCCATTCCCAAGCGTCCACGCCCCGAGCCTTTACAAGCCTCTCGCCCCGCGGAGCGTGGCGACACACCATCCGCTCGCAAGGTATAGCGTGTCGCCAGGGCCGCCGCGGCGAAACGCTGAGCGAAAGGTCCCGACCGTAGGACTAGAGCGAGGACCTAGGCAAGTCCAGGCGCCATTCCTCTCCACAGGACGCGGGTCTGATGTGCTCGCCCTTTTTAGCTCGTTGTTGCAGGCTGCTTCAGACACGCGCACAAGGGGGTAGGGGGAGGGGGGAAGGCTTCTCAGAAGCACCCCTGGTTCTTAGAAGGCGCGTGCCTTGTCTGCAGATGTAGGGCTGGCGCCTTCTAAGAAGCAGCCTCCTTCCAAGGAGGCTTCTCCCCTTCCCCGTCCTCCCTCTGCGCGCCGCCCACTGCTGGAGTGTGGGGGGGGAGGGGGCCACAGGGTTTGCAAGAGCGGCAGACCGCACTGCGACGACCGTCCCTTGCACCGCCAGGCCGCCCCGCGTCACCCCCCCCCGCTGCCCCCCGAGACGGTTGTCTTGCCAAGTCGTGCTCCCGCCTCGGCGCCCCACGTTCCTGGAAGTTTTGAGCAGCTGCGTGGATTGAGGGTAATCCCCTTCCGGTCCCAGGGCGAGACTCGGTGAGCTTCGCAATGGCCGATGCGCGAACGGCGCCTGGCTGCTCAGAGGGCCCCCCGGCGTCCGAGAAAGCTCCGCAGGAGCTCCGGGGCTCTAACTGAGAAGCCCCCGCCTTCTCAGGCAGCTGCCCCGCTATAGCACCACCCCTTCGTGCGCGCCACCAGCTGCAGCAGCCGGCCCACCCCCCCAAAGGGCCTGCATCTCCGTAGTGCCCAGGACCCCATCTCTTTCCTGCGGGCGTGCGGGTATGCAGAAAAATCTCGCCTCTACGGGCCCGATGTTTTAATCCGCATGAGCTGCGCCTCGGGTGTCTGGGGAATGGAGCCCGAAACTCCGCGGTGGACATACGGTCGGGAACTTCTGGATGTCGTGTCGCTCCGCCAGTTCTGGCCCACCGCGCTCTGAAGCGACACGCTGTCTACTTCGCGGTCCCGAGGCGCCCACGTGCCGAGCTGTTCCCAGCCTCCCGCCCTGCGGAGCTGAGCGGCAAGCTAGCCACTCGCAAGGCATATCGTGCCGCCAGGGCCGCCGCCGCGACACGCTAAGCGAACGTTCCCGACCGTATATACCTCGCCCGCAGGGTGACCGCCGTGGCGGTGGGACGGGTCTGGCTGCCCGCAGCGGCCCCCGCCGCGGCGGCAGCGCGGCAACACAGGCACAGCTGAGGGTTTGGCCGGAGGTCCGCCGCGTCTCGGTATTTTGGCAGACTTGTCGCGGGATCGGAGGCTGCTTTCGCTGGACCTGAGGCCCCCCCAGCCCGGCCTGAGGGCGCCCAGCTCGACCTGAGGCGCCCCAGCAGCCGTCGAAGTCACCCTTCTTTGGCCCGATCGTCTCGCCGTTCCCGACGGGAGAGGGCCTGCGGCGGGGAGAGGGCGGACGATGGGGGGGGGTCAGGGGCAACGATAGGGGGGGGGGATAGGATCAGGACGGACTGTATCGGCCCCCAGTCGTCCATTGATCGACGATAGAGCCCCACCCCCCCCCTGGCGAGTGCCCATCACCGATGCATCGGTGGCGTATTGCCGATTCCAGATCTTTCTTCCCCCCCCCTCCCCGAGCTTGTCCCCCCCCCCGAGCTTGACCCTTCTGTCGTTGCCCCGCAGGTGAAGAGGAGGACGAGCAGCGGACGATGAGGGGGTCGAGGCGGAGATACCGGGGCTGGGGTTTGTCTATGATCACCGTTTGGCGGACCGATCTTCGGGGTCGTCTGCAGGTGGTGGACATGGACATAGTCGGGCCTTGATAGGCCAAATTTATCCATGACCATCACCTGGGCGACCGATCACCAGGGACCTTGGCAGAAGGTGGGCATGTATGAATGTATGAATGTATGTATGGTTGCGTGCATGTATGTATGCGTGCATGTGCGTATGCATGCATGAATGTATGTACGAATTGTTGCATGTATTCATGTATATATGTACGAACGTGTGCATATATGTATGTATGGATGTACGAGTGTAGGCATATATGCATGCATGCATGCATACATGCATGCCTGCATGCACGCCTGTATGTATGTGTGCATATATATATATATGTATATATATATATAAATATATGTGTGTATGTCTGTTTGCTTGTGTGCCTGTTTGTATGTATGTATGTATGCATGTATTATGCATGTATATATGTATGTATGCATGTATATATATATGTGTGTGTATGCATGTATGGATGGATGGATGAATGGATGTATGCATGCAAGTCTGCATGTGTGCATGTGTGTATGCATGGTTGTATGTATACGCGTACATGTATGCATATATAAATATGTTCGCCCCCCCCCCCCCCAAGGATCTTCCTTTTCGGTGGGTCCTGAATTTCATTTGAAAGCCTTTCCAACAGGATTCATATTGAAAGCCTTTTCAAATGGATTCCAAGTAACATCCTTCACAAAAGGATTCCGATTGAAATCCTTTACAAAAGGATTCCTATTTCAATCGTGTAGAAAAGGGTTCCTAGTGAAAGCCTTTACAGAAGGATTCCGATTGGAATCCTCCACAAAAGGATTCCTAGTGAAATCCTTTACAAAAGAATGTTGTTTGAAAGCCTTGCCAACAGGACGACATGTGATTTCATTGTGTTTCTGGGTTTTCTGGTTTGGGAAGCAGGAAAACATGTGATGTCATTGTTTTTTTCCGGGTTTGGGAGCTAGATGTTACCCAACCGGCCAAGCCGAAACAACGATAGCCTTCAGACCAGAAAAGCAAGAAAAACCAATGACATCTCAGGTTTCCCTGCTTCCCAAACCAGATAAACACAAAACAAAAGTGAAAGCACATGTTTTCCTGCTTCCCAAACCAGAAAAACTAAACGAAACAGTGAAATCACATGTTTTCCTGTTTCCCAATAGGAATCCTTTTGAAAAGGCTTTCGCAAAATTCTGGTGTAAAGGATTGTAATAGAAATCCTTCTGCGGAGGATTCCAATGGGAATCCCTATTGGAAAGGCTTTCGCTAGGAAAGGATTTCAATAGGAATCCTTGTGTAAAAGATTTCACTCGGAATCCTTGTGTGAAGAATGTTGCTTGGATTCTATTTGAAAAGGCTTTCCATAGGAATCAGTTGGAAAAGGCTTTCGCATGAAATCCTTTTGTAAAGGATGTCAACAGGAATGCTGTCGTGGAAAGTTCAGTAGGAATCATTTTGAAAAGGCTTTCAATAGGAAGCGTTTTGCAATTGATTGCAATACAAACCTTTTGTAAATGATCCCAATACGAACGCTTGATAAAGGATATCAATGTCGACAAGAGGACGAGAAAGAAAGGAGGTGGAAGAGGAGGGGAAGACTGGAGCACGGCACGGAAAAGGTAGATCTTGGGAGGGGGTGTCTGCATACATACGTATATGTACATGTATGTGTATGTTACATGTATGTGTAGATGTAGATGCATATGCATATGTGCATGGATGTGTACCTGTACGTGCATACATATACCCCTATATATATGTAAATACATACATATATGTATACGTATACGTATATGTATATGTATATGTATATGTATATGTATATGTATATGTATATGTATATGTATATGTATATGTATATGTATATGTATATGTATACGTCTGGCCCCCATCCAGGGGCAGAGCCTATCCATATTTATCGCATCCCGGCGACCTCTCAGGTCGATTCCCAGGCGGTGGTTACAGATTAAGCCCCGCCTCGTAGAGATGATAAGATGATTGAGGAGGGATATGAGGACGAATGGTAGAGGGAAGTAGGAGAAACATCTGAAGGAAAAGGGGATCGAGGCGGAAAAGAGAGTGCGATGAGGAGGAGGAGGAGGAGGAGGAGGAGGAGGAGGTGGAGGTGGATTGTCCACCTCCGCCGCGTGCGCCTCCACCCCGAAGGGCCTTAGGGCCAACGCGGCTGGAGTCAGCGGGCCAGTGCCCCCGCTAGACCACTCCGCGGACCATCTCCTCCCACACACACACAGCGCACCCGAGGGGGAACATCGAGAGGGGCGCGAGTAGACTCCTGCATCCGGTGGAGTGGAATGGTATTCGGGCTTGCTTGGTAAGAAAGACTGGCTGCCAAATCCTTGTAGCTTGAAAAAAGTATGGCGTCTCTCGTCACTGGCTGCACTTATTTACCATCTGGCAAGGCTCACGGTAGGACGTGGTGTTCGTATTTCATTCAGGGTCTTTTGAAAGACGTTTCCGTCGGATTCGAGGGCAGGTAACACACAAGAAGGTATTCCGAGCACTCCCGCGGGGTGGCTCGGAGCTTGTAGTCTTTATTGGTTGAAGGTAAAGCCCGACCGTGCCATACAAATGGCAATGCGCAGGTGCATTTCGAGTGCAAAGAAATTCTGACGCATGACATTGAGACCGAGAGGAGCGGAAGGAGGCTTTTTGGAAGCTCACCTTGTGCCAGTCATCATCGTGCCCGCTTCTGTTCAAGCCCACGAGGTTTCGTGTGTGTGTCTATGTGTGCACACGGTGTGTGGTGTGGCGAGCATGCTGTGTTCATGATTCGTTTGCTTGTGTGTGGTTGTGTGTAGTGTGCCGGTGCGTGTTTCTTCGAGCTTGTATGAGTACGTGTGCTTATCGTAGTTTGGGGTAGTACGAACTTGATCCTTCAATTCGAAGCAAGTCAGGGAGACGAGCAGGGGCAAGTAATGCGGGCCCCTCACAGCTGGGATCCTATGACCACCTGCATGAAGACCCAGCAAAGAGACCGACGACCAATGGCCAGCGACAGTCGGGCCTGGGATCCTGTAGGCGGGACCCCCCGGCTCAGCAGACAAGGCAGTTTAGGCTGGATTTTTTTTGATCGGGGCCTCTTGACGAACAGCCGCATAACCCCGTCAGAGCTTTCAGGAACGCTCGGAGAAGGCCGCGGCGCTCGAGATATCATCCAGAAAAGCCGGATCTCGGAAATTCTCGATTTATCTTCACCCGAATTCATCCCCGTCCTGGCTTCGTCTTGATAGGCGAGACCGTGTTTTCCAAAACTCTCATCACTAATGTGTGTTGAAGCGGACCGCCCACCCCCCCGGCCCCAATGTCAAAGTTCGGGTCATTCGACGCGGGGCCAGTGCGAGTCGTTTCGAAACGAATCGCCTACATTTGCTTACCGCGGCCTGCGCGATCAGGTGAACATTGACATTGGGGGCTTGGGGGGCGCTCTTGCGCCATCTTCTAGTCGTTGCCACTGGGCGTTTTTACGAAAACGCTGGTAGGGATACGGGCGAGGCTGGTCGGGGACGCACTGACCCGGGTCAAGGCAAACCCGGGTCAGTCAGTCGTCGCAGGATTCTGCAAGATCCTCCAAGATTTTGCAGGATCCTGCACCCAAGCCCGGGTCAATCCAGCGCTCTGGCTGACCCAAGTTTGGCGGCTGGAAGCGATCCCACGTCGCGCGCAGCTGGAGCACTCGCGCTCAGTAAAAATGCATGGGGAGCCCGCGCCGTGGGCGGCTGAACGCTCTCGCTGAGCTGAAACCCGCGCCGTGGGCGGCTGGAACGCTCGCGCTGGGCAAAAGATATGGGCTGGAGCCGACACCGTGGGCGGCTGGGGCATGAATTCCCGTCTCAAGGTTCCCGAGCTGGTAGCCCGCGGCAGCCGCCGACGAGGCCCCCCCCTGGGTGCGCCGCGATGGGCGCGGCCGCGGGACTCGGCGCGGCGGCGGCGGCCGGGGGCCCTGCTGGCGGCGGCGGCCCCTGGCCCGAGGGCGCCGCCGCGCACCTGGGCGCCGGGCGTGGGCTCCCAGAAGGTGCTCGGGCGCGTCGCTCGACGAGACGTAAGAGTGTCGGGCCGGACGAAAGGGGGGGATCGGGAAAGGGGGGGTTACGAAATTTGCTGCATGCAGCTGGTTTCGGCCCCACCGAGGGTCCCATTCCTTGATACATAGCCGCCTCTGGCGCCGGGAGGCGCCGGGAAAATCAGCTACGTGATCTGATTCTCAACCCCCCCCTTTGCTATCCCCCCCTTTCGCCCGACCCGAGAGTGACCCTTCGCCGGAGTGGCCTCTGGTGCGGGCCCGCGGGGGTCCTCCGATCGCCGAGCGCGATTCGACAGTAGCGTCTTGCGCGCTTGGGTTGGGTTCCCCGCCGCGGCCCCCTCAAGATCCGCGCACCTAAGGTCACTCTCACCCAGGGTCACTCTTGCGTGTAGCCGAGACGTACAACCACCACCACCCAAACACTGTTATACTAAAATGCGCGCATCGGCCACGCAAGAGCAACATCAATTCTCGGAAATCTCATGGTATGAGCCCCATAGCAAGCAATTTCTGGTCATAGCGCTCGGGAAACTATGCGCTACAAGATTTTCTGACATGTTCGGATCGGATGTCCCTATGCGTCCCATATAACTTGAATGAGGAAAAGGGGCCGACACCGCTACCCTTGCCTCGTTTTCACCTTTTGGGGGTTCCTGGGGGGCCCTCGTCGCCACCACTGGATTCGCCTCGAAATTCTGGTCAGAACGCACTTCGGGAGAGGTCCGGGGAGTAGCGGTAGCGGTACCTCCATGGTTTCCTCACTAATGGGGGGGGGGCGATAAATGCCGATCAATGTCAAGGCACGATTTTTTGATGACGTCGACCCCCAGAGATCTGGACCCACTCCCCGCGACCGGCTTTTCATCCTGAGTCGTTGTTTGACGATCCTGAAGCTCAGCAAGGGCCCCAGGAGGCCGAACATGGCCAAAAACCTCCCGTCGTCATTTTTTCGTGACCCAGGGGTCTGGGTGCTCACCCCCCCCTTCGTTCGACTACACATAAGAGTGACCCTTCGCCAGAGTGACCTGTGGTGCGGGCTCACAGGGACCCTTCCGATCGTTGAGCGCGGTGCGATAGCGGCTGCTTGCGCGCTTGGATTTGGCCATTTTGCGCCCCCGTAACCCCGCGCACCAAATGTCACTCTTGCCCAGGGTCACTCTTGCGTCCGACCCGGAGGTGTGAAGCTCGACGCGCCAGTGCCCTGCCGCGAGGCCGGCGTGGCGTTCTGGTCGGTGGGCGGCCCGTCCAAGGCGCGGGTGCGCGTTACGGAGGACTTAGGGGCGACGCCAGGGGGAGATAGGCTTGAGGTTCAAGGTTCAAGGTTCGAGGACGTCTTCGTTGTTTCTCGGCGGCTGTCCAGCCTCGGGATACTCTCCAGCGGCCGCGCCTCGCCGAGGGCGTTCGGCGGGTGTCCGGATTGTCCCGAACGGCCGCCGGAGGCCCGAGATGTGACCCGAAAACCACAGGTCGAGAATCAGGGTCGGAGTCGAAGGTCTTGGGCGACATCAGGTGGGATGGGCTCAGGGGGGAGACGCATCGACCCCCGACCGCCCATCGATCGCCGATAGGGGCCCGATAGCCCACCCCGCCCAGGAGCGTGCGCTTTGGCCATCGGGTGCCCATCGTCATCGCCGGTCTATCAGCGATGTATTGCCGATCCCAGCTCGATGTCCACCCCCCCTGAACCAGTTCCCCCACCCCAGACCCCGACGTCATGATTTTGTTCACAACGTCGACCCCCAGAGGCCTCGACACGTTCCCAGGGACTGGCGTTTCATCCCCAGTCGTGGTGTTCTGACGACCCCGAGGCCCTGCAAGTGCCCCCCAGAGGCCGACAAGAGCAAAAAAACGCCCGTCGCGATTTTCCACGTCGCCAGGGGTTTCTTGGACAAGCGCCCCCCCTCAGATCAGGAGGGAAAAAAACACACAGACACAATTAACCGTCGATCCCCCAGAACATATGGGAAAATATGGGAAGTGGGGGGGGGGAAGACAAAAACCCAGAACTATGGGAAAAGATTGGGAATCCTGTCATTTGTGTGTGTGTGTGTGTGTGTGTGTGTGTGTGTGTGTGTGTCCTTGGGCCCCTGGATCAGAGGACGCCAAGGGCGTGCTCCAGCTCGGGTCCGACTTTGCGGTGGGCATCCGCTTCCGGGCCGGCCGCGCGCCCGCGGGCGGCGCGCTGGCCGGGTGCGACAGCGTGGTCCTGGGCGCCGACAACAAGCACTGGCTGGCGCTCCAGGACGGCCGCCCGTGCCTGGTCGACGGCGAGTCGGGGGGGTACTTCTTCCTCGAGGTCCCCGACGCCGAGGCATCGCGAGCGCGGGAGGCCTCGGGGGGCACCGTCAGGGGGGGGAGCGGGCTCATGGGGGAGCACGCATGGGCCCCCGATCGCGCGCCGACCGCCGAGAACGGGCCCGGCCTGGGCCGTGTGCGGATCTGATGGTCGGGGGCCCACCTCCGATCCATCGGCGATGTATCGCCGATTCCGGACCGAGGTGTTCCCCGCTGCCGCTGAGCCAGTGCTCTCTCGGCGTTCCCCCTCAAGGCTGGCACGTGGACGACGATCTTCCTTCAGCCCTCGGGCGAGGGCGCCACGACCGTCGTGGCCATAGACAGCGAGGGCCCACTGGAGCTCGGCGTGGCCCCGATCAGCCTGGCGGGCAGCAAGCTGAGGACGCTGGGCTGGGCGCCGAACGAACTGTTTGTGTCCGATCTCCGGGGAACGAAAAAGGACATACACATCAATGTTCGGAGGTCCCAGCGGATTTCTCGGATCGACGTTGGAGCCCGTTGGTGGCGCCTCTTGCGCCGCCCCTGGCGCGCGGAGCGCGCCAGGGAGGGGGGTCCATCGCCGATCCGAGCAATCCGCGCGGACCTCCGACAGTTTATGGTTATGTCGTTATTTGTTCCTCGAGATCTCCTCATCTGGGAGAGGCGCGTGAGCTGGTCGGAGATGGGCGCCATGTCCTCGGTCTCGCCGCCGCCACCCGCACCAGCCCCGCCCGAGAAGCCCCGGGCGAAGTTCCGCGGGCAGGTCGTGGACCTGTCTGGGCAAGCAGTGCCAGACGTCAGTGTGAACTGGGGCCGGGGCGGCTGCTTCGCTGGCTGCGAAGTGACCGACGAGGACGGCTGCTTCATGGGGGACATCTCCGACGCCGAGACCGAGGTGCCCGACGACGCTGCCAGTGGTGGATCGACCGCGTCCACTTCCACGATGTTCTCCTTCACACGCGAAGGCTTCGCGCCCACTTCTGCGGCGTCGCCTTGCCAGGGTGGCGGACCCGAGACCGTCCTGCGGGTGGCGCTGAGACCAATCTCCGCCACGGCCGTCCTCGACGCAGCGGTCGGAGGGCAGCTGGTGGATCCTGCCAGCGGCTCGAGCGTATCCTTCCCGCCAGGCTCGGGTCGGACGAAAGGGGGGGGGGCGGCACCTCAGACGCCCAGGCGGTGCGTGGGTGGAGACGGCAGGGCGCGCGAAGGTTATCTCCCACGGCGCAGCGCCGCACGAGCAGCTCTCGTCACCCCCAGCAGGAAAAGGGGATCGCGAAAGGGAAGGAGGGGGATAGCGAAAGGGGGACCTGCGAGATCTGCCCCGCACTCAGCTGGTTTCGGCCCCGCCGCCGGGCGGCTTTCCTCGATACGCTCACGCCCCCCGTCACCGTGAGCCGTCGTGTAAACCAGTCGAGCGAGCTGTTTTGCTGCCCGCCCCTGGACTGAAGTCGGGCATGTCCCTCTACAGGGCGAATATGCAAAAATAGTAAAAAATAATCTGGGGAAGATGTGCATTTTGTAAAAAATAATAGTAAAAATAATGGTAAACATAAAAAGCAATAGTAAAATAATATAAAAAATAATAGTAATAATAATTTTGAGTGCATTTTTTGACTATTCTATTTTCCTCCAAAATCCGTCTGTAGGGGGACATGCCCGACCTCACCCTTGACTGCATCCCCCCCTCCGTGTCGTCCGACCGCACAGGCGTGCTGGTGCAGCAGGACGGCTCTCCAGTAGTGGGCCCTGTCACGGTCAGCCTCTCCGTGATCGACGCGACCGACCCGGCCGCCCTTGCGTCGATGCCTGGCGATTTCTCCGCGGTGGACGAGAACGGGTGCTCGGGGGCGGCCAAGAGGGGGGTGATGACAAGTGAGTGTGTGGATATCATGGCGTGGGCCATGATAGTGCCCCAGATCTCATGGCGCATCTTCTTATTTCATTACGTCCCCGCCGGCCATGATTTGCGCCCCCCCCTCTTGGACGCCCCCCTCTTGGCCGCCCCCCCGAGGTGCGCGTGCTACCTGCAGTCGCTAGGGGCGATGTGGGTGGGTGCGCAGGACGGAAGCGGGGCCGACCTGGCTATCAAAGAGGGCGCCGCTGGCGTCACCGTGGACCTCAAGTCGAGCGCCACGGCGGACATGGGCAAGCTGGGGGTCGGCGCCGAGATGTGGTCTTTCGACGAAGCCTCCGGCAAGTGGCAGCAGGAGACGAGCACGCCGCTCAAGATAGATGGCAGGACAGCGCCCAACAGCGCCGCCAGCAGCGCGACAGTCATGGGCGATTCCGACGAAGACCTGCGGCCCAAAGGTGGCATAAAGACCCAGAAGAAGGGCGGGAAAATGCGTCGGGGGGTGGCGTACGAGGCGTCGGGTTCGGCGACAGCAAAAGCTTGCATGTCGCCAGAGGATTTTGCACAGATTGTGAAGAAGCCTGGGCCAAAGACGTTGTCGACTAACATCACAAAGCTAGGTTACATCAACTGCGATTTGATGTACCACCACCCCCAGAGGGCAGTGATGCTGCAGGGCAGGATGCTTACCGAGCAACGGGAGCCTCTGGCTGGGGTGCAGCTGTGGTGTGTGGGCCGAGACTATGGAGGCAGAACCCCCGATGTGACGGATGCGGACGGCAAGTTCAAGGCCATGGTCGCGCAATTCGATTCTACGGTCGACATCGAGGTCAGCATTCCCAAACCGCTTCCAAACGACGACGTAATCGAGGTCTGCTTCGACCATCTGGAGTGGTATCGGAGACTTCCGAAGGGTTCGGTGACCAAGAAGCTGGACGCAGTGCCGGGCAAGTATCTGAAGGGCGCCCCAGTAGACGGACAGCCTGCGTGGTATCCCAAGCAGAGGAAGACACGCAATGACGAGCCATCGATGGGTCCGGTTGTCAAGATCATCTGGTGCCAGACCCGGCACCAGTGGCGGCATCTCGTGGACGATCTCGTGGTGTTTTGCAAGGAAGGGTCCGAGTCTCCCGTCGGATCAGGCTGGCGGGTGGCGCCTACGTTTCAAGCGGAGCTTGTCGGGCAAAGCTGCTCCACAGACCCGATCGGGGTGCCGACCTATTCGAGAGCAGTCAGAATCGAGAAGATGACGGTCGGTCCTTTCCAGACGGGCCCGCCTGGAGAGTTCGTTGACGTCGGCGAATCGCTGGTGCCGCAGCCCATCACACCTATCCTGTCATGCGCCTCCTCTCCCATGTAGGACCGAGCGTGTTAAACAAGTGCCCTTGAACATGCAGTTTACATGCTAACTTGCTAACTGCCGTGCGAATTCACAAAATAGTTTCATGTTTCAGGACCTTTTGGAACAGGCTGCCTCTTAGTGGCGGCCATGCAAACATATTTCCTATGTGGCAGCCTTACACAAAGGATGTTCATTGCGACGGCCTTGTTCCAGGATTGGAGTTCGCCGCGGCCTTACAACAGAATGTCCTTTTGTGGTGGCCTTACACATGGTTTCCCTTGCGTAGCGGCCTCACGAAAGGATCCTTTTTTGTGGCCGCCTTGGAAAGGATTCCCTTTTGTAGTGGCCTTACAAAGCGATTCCTTTTGTGGCGGCGTTGCAAAAAGATTCTCTTTGTCATTGCCTTACAAAAGGATTCCTTTTGTGGCGGCCTTGCGAAAGGATTTCCTTTTGTGGGAGACAAGAGGGAACCAAGCATATAAAGGGAACGAACAAAAAATACAATCACATGAAATCTAAGCAGTTCCAGTGTTTTTAATAATTTGGATACCCGAGGCTGAACAAATACGAAAACACAGCGTCTTCAAGTATCGGAGATCAGGAACGCCGTAAAACACAATGTTTCGGAGCTCCGGTGGCTGCAAGCGCTGTGCTTTACACAGTTTCGGAGCTCCGATGGCTGAAAACGCTGTGTTTTTAACAGTTTCGAAGCTCCGATGGCTGAAAACGATGTGTGCAACAGAGTTTCGTAGCCCCGATGGCTGAAAACGGTATGTTTTACCGTTTCGGAGCCGCGATGGCTGACCACTGCGTGTTTTACAATGCTTCGGAGCTTCGATGGCCGAAAACGCTCTGTTTAGATTTTTCTCCAGCAACAAAACCATTGAACACATTGCACTTCTCATAAATTCACTGAATTTGTTTCGAAGAAGGAATTATTCGAGAAGGTAGCCGTGAAAGGAAATCTGTTGGTACGGCCGCTGCACACGGGAATCAGTTGGTAAGGCCGTTACAAGAAAAGAATCCTACTCCAATGCCACCTCGAAACGATTTGTTTTGCAAGGCAGGAATACAACATCCTTGTGTCAGGCTGCTACAAAGGAGCTCCTTCGGCAAGGGCGCCACTCAAGGAAATCCTTCTGCAAGGCCGCCACACAAGGAATCCTTTGCAAAGCTACCACTAGGATAACCCTTCCGTAAGGCTGCCACAAAAGGATCCGTTTGCAAGAACACCGTAAGAGGACATCATGTTGTAAACCCGTTGCAATCATAATCTTGGTGTAAGGCCGTCGCAAAGAGATTCCTCTTGTAATGCTGCTGCAGAGGAAGTCCTTATGTAAGGGTGCCACAAATGGTGGCCCTTTTTACATGGCCGCCACGCAAGGAAATCCATTTGCAAGGCGGGTACGGTATGAGATCCTGTTGTAAGGCCGTCGCAGTTTTAGAATTTTGCAAGGCTCGCAGAGCGAATCCTCTCGTAAGTCCGCCGCGAAAAAATGATTCTGTGAGGCCGCCACGGAATCGTTTTGCACAGCTGCCACACGGAAAATTATGTGACACGGCTGATAAGGGTACCACTTCTTTCCCAACCATCCTGCGTTGGGCATTCATTTTGGATAGAACACTGCGGTCGTACACCTCTTCCTTGCCACCTCCCTTCTCTTCTCATTACTCCTGCCTGTCTTCTACCCTGTCTCCTATCTGGCCATCCCTGGGAGGATGCGATCTGCAAAATTGCCGCCATTTTAGATGGCTGCTTGGGGGTCCAGCGGAGTGGGGTCCCACGCGGATTCAAATTTGACATCGCCATCCTTGGCGGGCTGATCTGCGGAACTGCCGCCACTTTCGAGGGCTGGTGGGGGGTCCAGCGGAGTGGTGTCCCACGCGAAAATGAGACCTCGTCGTCCTTGGGTGGCTGCGATCTGCGAAATTGTCGCCATTATCGAGGGCTGCTGGGGGTCCAGCGGAGTGGGGTACCACGCGCATTGAAATTCGACTTCGCCATCCGTGGGGGGCTGCGATCTGCGAAACTTTCGCAACTTTCGAGGGCTGCTGGGAGGTCTTGCGGAGTGGTGTCCCGCGCAGATTCAAATTTGACGTTGCCATCCCTGGGTGGTTGCGATCTGCGGAACTGCCGCCACTTTAGAGGGTTGCTGGGGGGTCCAGCGAAGTGGTGTCCCACGCGGGTTCAGATTAGACCTCGCCTTCCGTGGGGGGCTGCGATCTGCGAAACGGATGCCACATTCGAGGGTTGCTGGGGGGTCCAGTGAAGTGGTGCCCCACACGGATTCAATGTAAGCATCGCCATCCGTGGGGGGGCTGCGATCTGCGAAATGGTCGCACTTTTCGAGGGTTGCTGAGGGATCCAGCGGGGTGGTGTCCCACTCGGATTCAAATTTGATTCCGCCATCCGTCGGGAGCTGCGATCTGCGGAACTGCCGCCACTTTAGAGGGGTGCTGGGCGATCCAGCGGAGTGGGACCCCATGCGTATTCAAACTAAACCTCGCCATCCCTGGGGGGCTGCGATCTGCGAAATGTTCGCCACTTTCGAGGGCTGATGGGGGGGTCCAGCGAAGTGGGGCGCCACGCGGACTCAAATTAGACCTCGCCATCCCTGGGTGGCTGCGATCTGCAAAACGGCCGCCACTTTCGAGGGCTGCTGGGGGGTCCAGCGGGGTGGGGCCCCACGCTGGTTCAGATTAGACTTCGCCATCTGTGGGGGGCTGCGACAGGCGAAACTTTCGCCACTTTCGAGGGCTGCTGGGGGTCCAGCTGGATGACGTCCCACGCGGACTCATATTTGACCTCGCCATCCTTGGGGGGGCTGCGATCTGCGGAACTGTCGCCACGTTCGAGGGCTGCTCGGGGGACCAGCGGAGTAACGTTTTACCGTGATTCAAATTCGACCTCGCCACCCCTGGGGGGCTGCGACCTGCGAAACCCTTGCGCATTCAAATTTGCGTTCGCCATCCCTGAGGGGGCCGCAATCTGCGACATTGTCGCCACTTGCATGGCTGCTTGGGGTTCCAGCGGGGTGACGTCCTACGCGGACTCGAATTAAACATTGCCATCCCTGGGGGGCTGCGATCCGCGAACCCGCCGCCACTTTCTAGAACTGCTGCGGGGTCCTCCGGAGTGACGCTTTACGCAGATTTAAATTCAACCTCTCCGTTCCAGGTGGGCTGCGATTTGCGGAATTGTCCACATTTTCGAGGGTTGTTCGGGGGTCCAGCGGAGTGACGCATTACGCAGATTCGAATTCGACGTCGCCATCCCTGGGGGGGTGCGATCTGCGAAACTGTTGCCACGTTCGAGGGCTGCTGGGGGGTCCAGCGGGGTGACGTTTTACGGTGATTCAAATTCGACCTCGGGGCTGCGGTCTGCGAAATTGTCGCCACTTTCGACGGCTTTTGGGGGGTCCAGCGGAGCCACGTCCTACGCGGACTCAAATTGGACCTCGCCATCCTTGGGGGTGCTGCGATCTGCGGAACTGTCGCCACGCGGATTCAATTTTGACCTCGCCATCCCTTGGGGCTGCGAACTGCGAAATTGTCGCCACCTTCGAGGGTTGTTGGGGGTTCAGCGGAGTGAAGCACGACCCAGATTCAAATCAGACTTTGCCATCCCTTGGGGGCTGCGAACTGCGAAATTGTCACCACTTTCGAGGGCTGCAGGGGGGTCCCGCGGGGCGCTGTCGCGGGCCGCCCGCAGACCTGGCGGCGCGCCTTCGAGTGTTTAGCTCCCGCGCTGAAAAGTGCGGGAAGGAAACAGGGAAGCTGGCGGGCGAGCTAGGCTTCGCTAGCTTCTTGCACTAACAACAAGCAGGTTCCCTACCTAGGCTCTGCCTAGAAGGGTTCGTACCCTGTATGCTGAAAGGGCCGGGCAGTGCTCCCCGCCCCGGGCGTTTCCCCCAGGATCCGCCCGGCGGTTCCCCCAGTGACGTTCCCTTAGCTTAGCGTTGCTTATCTCATCTTAGCTTAGCCGAACCTAACTTAACTTAGCTTAGCTAAGATTAGCCTAGCCTAGCTTAGCTTAGCTTAGCTTATCTTAGCTTATCTTAGCCCGGCTTAGCTTAGCTTGGCTTAGCTTAGCTTAGCTTGGCTTAGCATAGCTTAGTTTACTTTATGTTAGCTCAGCGCAGCACAGCGCAGCGCAGCATTAGCACAGCATAGCATAGCATAGCATGGCCAATCATAGCATACCATCTCATATTATAGCTCAGCATAGCATAGCATAGCATAGCGCAGCATAGTATAGCATAACATAGCATTGCATTGCTTAGCATAACACAGCGCAGCACAGCATATTATAACACCTCATGGTATAGCATATCATAGCATAGCATATCATAGCGCAGCATAGCATATCATATCATAACATAACATAGCATACCATAGCACATCAGAACGTATCATAGCATAACCTATCATAGCATATCATAGCGCAGCATAGCATGGTATAGTGCAGCATATCATAGCATTAGGAGGAGTCGGCTTGCAGGGGGGGGCGGGCGCGGGGGGGGCGCCAGCGACCGCGCCGATTCCATCGCGGCCCGCTGCCCCTTCCCGGGGCTCTCAGGAATCCTCCGGGCCCTGTCGGCCTCGCAGTCGGCGCCGGCGTCGCGTCGCCCGCGAGCGCCAGCCGGCGGGCGGGCCGACCTTGTTGCGCATGTTTGGCGCGAGAGACCCGCGCGGGCCTCGCACTGTGCCCGCGCCTCAGGGCGACGGCCCAGGCCCTTCTTGCCTCCCGCGCTGACGCGATGGCCTCGCGCGCTGCGCAGGAGCGGGCGCCGCCGATCGTTCGGTTCGGTCCCGCGCACTTCTCATGCGAGAACGCAAGGCCCTTCATGCTGCTCGCGCGCTTTGCGCGCTGAGCAATGCGATGCAGTTGCGACGGCCGCGCGTTCAACTGGACACCGCAACGCAAGTTTCCCTTTCCGCGCGCGGGGCGGGGCGTGAACTTGCAGATGCGCCGACGGTCGAGAACTCGCGCGCGCGCCCGCGCCTGCCATGTTGGGCGTGCGCGCTGGGCCCGGAAATGTGTGGCTCGGCCGCCGATGCGCCCCAAAAATCGCTCCGCCTCCCCCCCCGCTCCCCTCCCCCTCAAAACTCTTCCGCGCTCCTGGAAAAACCGCGCCGCCGAGGCGCGAGCTCGGGCCGCGGCCTGATGGTCCCCGGGGCACAGGGGAATCAAAGGAATCAGTACGGAATCAGTACAGAATCAAAACAGAATCGGCACAACTGCGACCCCTGATTCTAGCGGAATCAAAAGAATCAGTACGGAATCAATACGGAATCAAAGGAGGAATCGGCGATGGAACCAGAATCGACCAGAACGGGGAAGTAGGCCAGAATCGGTGCCAGAACCCATAGAGAGAGGCTTTTTTTCCCACGAGTTCATTGCGGCGGGTCCGCGGCGCGGGCGCGCCGCGCGACTTCGCTGGTTCAGCGAGGCGCGCAGTCGGCGTTCAGAGTGAACAGGTTGTTTTCCTGGCGATATCCTGGCGGCGCGCTGGCGCATTGCGAATTTGCGTATTCCTGGCGGGCTGTTTGAGGGCGACCCGACAGCGTCGGCCGAATGGCCCGCAAATACCGCGCGGCCGATCGTGCGCCCCATGCGGTCACGTCGACCGCCGTGTGCCGCGACGGCCGCGTGCCCCGGACCGCGCCACTGCCGCGTTGGATTGGACGGCGCAGCGCCCGTCTCCCAAAAGTCGTCACATGCATATCGCGCGTGTCGAGCCAGCAGCAATCGCTCCCAGAAGCAGCCTTGACAGGCGCTCCATGCCCGTTGTCGCCCGGTTCCGATCCAAATCGTAGTTTCTTAGGATGCGGTTGCGCGAATGTGAGCGCGCGGGCAAGTAACGCGCGCGCTTGGCGCAGCCCGGGAAATCCAACATGGAGCCCCCCGGGGGCGCGGGGCGCCGGCGACGCCTCCGCCCGCCTCCCGCGCGCCCGACCCCCCCCGCAAGCCGACTCCTCCTACATAGCATAGCATAGCCTTGCATCACACAGCGCAGCCGAGCGTACCCTAGCATAGCATAGCATAGCGCAGCATAGCGCCGCATAGCAAAACATAGCAACGCATAACATAGCATAGCATAGCGCAGCATGGCATAGCATAGCATAGCATAGCATAGCAGCAAAGCAAAGGCACAGCAACAGCAGCAACAGCAAAGCAAAGCAAAGCACAAGCAACGCATAGTTGATGTTGATGTAGATGTAGATGCAGGTATAGATGTTCATGTAGCTGTCAGTGTAGATGTAGATGCTGCTTTCCTAGATGTTCCAACTCCTAGGTAGGGTCGCACTGGGATAATTCAATCATTCTGTCGGGCGCCGTGGGGTCATGGCGCAGGCAGCGCTGCATTTTTAGCCTGCCACCGACAAGACCAACAGCTTTCCGTCTCCTCCAGTCACTTTCGTCGTCGTCCTCTGCCCCCTGCCACTTCTCCTCTGCGGATGCCGCGCTGACGGCTCGGCCCCCCGCGCGTCTCTCTTCTTCCCTTCGTTCCCGCCCCCGGTCCTCTTCAGGCCTGGGCCCTCGCTCCTCGTTCTGCGGTTGCCCTGTGAATCGTGCCACGTGGGCGCGCGCCTGATGTAGTTTGCACAACATATAACGGCGCCTGCATTGTAATTGTCCTGGCAAGTTTGTGACGATTCCTCTTGTCACTTGCTGCGAATGGGGGGGGGTACGTCGCACGGTAATTTTGTTTTACGGCCGCCACACAGCAGTTTTCTTCTGCCGCCGCCACTACAGGAAACCGTATGTAAAACCACACCAACGGCAATCGTGTGTGTAAGGCCGCCACACACACGACATCGATATGTAAGGCAACCGCAAAGACTCCTTGTGTAAGGCCACTACGAAAATAAGCCTTTTTCTGGCATGAGCGGGAACCGCGTGAAAGGGAAGAGTTGCGCTAGAATTTGGAGCATCATCGCGATCAAATGTCATATGGGCGAGCTCTCCGAACGCTCACAAGGCATATGGACATGCGCCCCCCGAGCGTTCACAAGCGTATTCCGGATTATCCTCCTCACTCCGCAGGAGGGGGTCGACGGCGAACCCGACGACCGGGAGAGAAGGGGGAGTGGAGGAGGCGGGGGGTGGAGGAGGGGAAGGAGGAGGAGGAACAGCAGCAGCAGTAGCAGCAGGAGAAGAGGGTGAGGAGGGGAGGGTGAAGGAGACGAGGAACAGGAGAAGAACGATTAGGAGGAAGGGGGGAGGAGGAGGAGGAGGAAGGAAAAGGAAGAAAATGGGGAGGAGAAGGAAGAGGAGCTAGAGGAGGAGGAGGAGGAGGAGGAGGAGGAGGACGAGGAGGAGGAAGAACAGGAGGAGCAGGAGGAGAAGCAGGAGGAGAAGGAAAAGGAGAAGGAGAAGGGAAAGGAGAAGGAGAAGGAGGAGAAGGAGGAGGAGGAGGTGGAAGAAAAAAAGGTGCAGGAGGAGGGAGGATGAGGAGGAGGAAAAGGAGGTGGAGACCACATGGTTTCGAGGGCCCGTTCGAAGGCATGCGTAGGGGGATGTCTCGAGCGAAACGCTTACTGTTTAACACAAGTGTTGAAAACACATGGGTGTTTCAATCGTTTCGCTTTTTGGGCCATCGTGGAGGTCATCCAAGAGCGCTCCGAAAAGATTCCTTAAAAGAGCTCTTGGCGCATCCCATTTCTTAGAGGATGTCTCAGGCCTCAGGCGAAACGGCCAGTGTTGGAAGTCCGCGGATTGGAGCAACCATTTCAGCATCCCCATTCGCTGAGGTTGTCTCGGGCCATGTTTTGCATAAGACGTCTTAAGCTACGACCCCCAACTACGCGACTTGGCGAGGACGTCTCAGGCGAAACGCTCGTTTTTTTCAAGCATTTCTTGACATTCACGGGAAGCGCGTGACATCAAAGAGCTTGGCAAGAACGTGCGCCAACATCAAGTTCGCATGTCGCGTAGGCGCTCTTCCCGAACGTCCACATGGGGTACCAGGTGGACTTCGCTATCCGCGCCAATTCAGACGTGCCACTGACCCCGAACGTCCGCAAAAAAAACCAGATGGAGTTCACGATCCGCGGAAATTCCGACGTGCCGCTCGCCCCGAACGCCCACAAAAGATACCAAATGGAATTCTCAATCCGCGCAACTTCAGTCCCCTCCCACCGCGAACGTCCACAACAGATACAAGGTAGAGTTCACTACCCGCACGAGTTTAGACGTCGCTCGTACCCCGAACGCCCACAAAAGATACCAAATGGAGTTCACTTTCCGCGCGAGTTTTACACTTGTTGGATGATGTCTCGGGCGAAATGCCTTGTTTTAAACAAAACTGTTGAACATCCATCGGTTGTTTGATAATTTCCCCTTCGGGGGCCCGTCCGAAGGCAATGTTTGGAGGATGTCTCGGGCGAGCCGCTGATTTTTCAACGAACATGTTAAACACACATGGGGTTTTCCATAAATTCGTTTCTTGGGCCATCTTGGAGGTCATCCGAGATCGCTCCGAAAAGAGGCCTTACAAGAGCTTCGTCGGCATCCAATGGTTTCGAGGATGTCTCTGGCGAAGCGCCTATTTTCGAGAATCCGAAAACTAGGCGAGCGATTTCAACATCCCGATGTGTTGAGGATGTCTCGAGCGAAACGCCCATATTTAGCAACATACGGCTTAAGATACGACCCCCAAATTCACGAGTTTGTGAGGATGTCTCCCGCGAAACGCTCGTTTCTTCAACCTTTCTTGATATGAACGGGAAGCGCGTGAAATCGAAGAGATGTTCAAGAACGTGCACCAACATCAAGGTCGCATGTCGCGTAGGCGCTCTTCCCGAACGTCCACAGGGGGTTCCAGGTGGACTTTGCTATCCGCGCCAGTTCAGACGTGCCGCTGACCCCGAACGCCCGCAAGAAGAACCAGATTGAGTTCACGATCCGCGCAAATTCCGCCGCGCCGCTCACTCCGAGCGTCTACAAAAAACACAAAATGGAATTCACAATCCGCGCAACTTCAACCACCGCTCACCCCGAACGTCCACAAAAGGTACCCGGTAGAGTTCATTACCCGCGCGAGTTTAGACGTCGCTCTTACCCCGAACGCCCACGAAAGATATCAGGTGGAGTTCACTTCCCGCGCGAGTTCAATACTTGTTGGAGGATGTCTCGAGCGAAACGCTATTTCAAAAACAAATTTTTTGAACACCCATCGGTGTTTCAATAATTTCGCCTTCGAGGACCCGTCCGAAAAGGCAATGTTTGGAGGATGTCTCGAGCGAAACGTTGATTTTTTAACGACCATGTTAAAATACGCGGGTTTTCCAATAGTTTCGCTTCTTGGCCCAGCTTGGAGGTCATCCGAGATCGCTCCGAAAAGATGTCTTACAAACGCTCTGTCGGCATCCCATTTTTTCGAGAATGTCTCAGGCGAGACGCCCATATTCGAGAATCCGAAAATTAGGCAAGCGATTTCAACATCCCCGCTTTGCGAGGATGTCTCAGGCGAAACTGTCATTTTTAGCATAAGAAAACATATACGATAGCTTCCGACATCATGATTTTGTGAGGATGTCTCCCGCGAAACGTCCGTTGTCGAAACCATTCCTGACATGACCGGGAAGCGCGCGAAATCAAAGAGCTTGGCAAGAACGTGCACCAACATCAACATCGCATGTCGCGCAGGCGCTCTTCCCGAACGTCCACAGGGTACCAGGTGGACTTCGCTATCCGCGCCAATTCAAAAGTGCCGCTGGCCCCGAACGGCCGCAAGAAGAACCAGATGGAGTTCACGATCCGCGCAAATTAATTCCGACGTGCCGTTCGCCCCGAACGTCCAAAAAATATACCAAATGGAGTTGACAATCCGCGCAATGTTAGTCACCGCTCACCGCGAACGTCCACAAAATATACCAAGTAGAGTTCACTACCCGCGCGAGTTTAGACGTCGCTCTTACCCCGAACGCCCACAAAAGGTTTCAGGTGGAGTTCACTTTCCGCGCGAGTTCAAAACTTGTTGGAGGATGTCTCGAGCGAAATGCTTTGTGTTTAAACTGTTGAAAACCATAGGTTTTTCAATAATTTCGCATTCGAGGACCAGTCCGAAGGCAATGTCTGGAGGATGTCTCGAGTGAAACGCGATTTGTCAGCGAACATGTTAAAACACTTGTGTTTTCCAATAATTTCGCTTCTTGGGCCAGCTTGGAGGTCATCCGAGATCGCTCCGAAAAGATGTCTTACAAACGCTCTGTCGGCATCTCAGTTTTTCGAGGGCGTCTCGGGCGAAACGCCCATATTCGAGGATCCGAAAATTAGGCAAGCGATTTCAACATCCAGATGTTTTGAGAATGTCCCGAGCGAAACGCACATTGTTAGCAACATACGTCTTAAGGTACGACCCCCAACTTCTGGATTTTGCGAGGATGTCTCGAGCGAAACGCTCGTGGTTGCTACTTTTCCTGACAGTTACAGTTGCGCAAGAACTTGCAGCATCATCGTGATCACATATAATTTAGGCGAACTCTCCGAACGCTCACAAAGGATACGTATGGACACGCGCCCCCCGAATGTTTTCAAACATCTTCCTGGTTATCCTCCGCACTCCTCCGCATGAGGAGGACGACGGCAAAACCGACAATCGTGGGGGGAGGGGGAGGGGGATGAGGAGGAGGAGGAGGAGGAGGAGGAAGAGGAGGAGGAGGAGGAGGAGGAGGATAGTCGAGGCTGTACAAATAGGACACGGGTAAAGTGTTACCGTTTTCGTGCCCTACGAAACCGCATGAGTTTAATGGGGGTGGGTAAGCACCCCTTTCAATGGTATGTAATCTCGCTTGCGCCCTACCGCCCCACATATGTGACGTGCCGAGCGAAGGCGCGTGACCAAAAATAGGTTGGCCTCCTAGGCTCCTGAAGATCCAGATTTTTATTCTTCTCCCCCAAGAAACCTCCCAGAGGCCTAATATGTTTGCACCTGCCCTCTCCCTCGGTTGCACGGAGTCCGGCTGGGCGGTAGCGAAACTTGGACCTTTGCGAGGGGCCAGCCAATCAAATGGTACACGCTGGGGCATGAAGGGGGGGCTGGACATGAGATATCGCGAGGATTTCTTGGTTGTTGCTCGGATGCAAGCTGCTCTGTCTCCTTTGTAGCTGGTTACTGGAGCCAGCCTGGCATGCCTTGCCACCTGGGGCGCGTGGCCGGGACCGCGGGGGCATTCTCAGCTGCCTCTCCCTTGATACACTTGCTGTTGGGAGCTAGGTGCGCGAACTCGCCACTGTGGAAGTCGAGATACGCGACGCCAACCACCAAGCACCTAGTTCTGGGACTGCGCACGGCAAGCTCCACGCCTTGCACGCAGGCAGAAGGGCCCGAGGCAACCGCAGTCTGGTCAGGTGCAAAAGGGCCCGGCCTCTTCGGGCCCACCATCCTGACTACGCCCAAATCGCCAACGCAGACTAAGAAACCCGAGGAACACCATCCGGTTTCGTGAGCGCTGCTATCCTGGTGGGGCGAGTGTATGCTA